AACATTACAAGTTTATTGTCAGTTTCAAAATTCATTGTTTTCATATTTAATCTATGTAGGTATTGCAATTTTTTTGGCGCCACTGTATATTATGTGTTTTTTGTTATCATCAGAAAGTAAAAATACTATTATAATTAATTTTAATTTTTTATTCATGGGTTGTAATTTTTTAAAAATTTAATAAAAAAACTATGGTAAAATTTTCTAACATAATATTTTTGTTTAATCATGGTAAATTTTTTGTTGTGTTAATTGATTTATTTTGTTAGAAAAACTTACCATGGTTAATTCATTTTACTATAGCAAAATTTTTGAATACACCCTTAATGTATTCAATGAATATTATATTGGGAAAAATTATAAAACTACTTTAAGAAATTGTTTTTTACTTAAAATGACTTAAAAGTATAAAAATTGATTTTTATAATTCATATGCCCAGCTTTTGCTTTCAATATAGCTTTTATTCTTCTACTCATACCCACGACTAATTTTTTACTCAAAGATGGCTCAATTTTATTTCATATATTTAATACTATATCTTTCATTTCTTTTTTGCTATTAAAACCATACCTATCAGTCTCTGTTTTATTATGACCCATAAATTCTTAATACGATTAAAATTGGGTGATTAAACAGCCCATTCTACAGGTTCAATGTCGTGAAAATAAAAAATTTCATCGCAATTTTACTTTCATGTTTTGAATTTCTGTTTTAGAAGATTTTAAAATTTTCAAATCTAAAATTATCAAGACTTTTCGGTAAATTATTTAAAAGAATTTTAACATAATAAGATGCGTACATATTCTTATTAAAAAAAACAACTCCCCAGTACCCTGTAAAAACATGCAATCGCAAACCATAGTTTTTTCTTTCCATGTTTTAATATTTCATTAATAAAACTTTCATCTTTATTACTTATCCATGCTTTAAAACTTCTTGAATCGTTATAAAGTGAAAAAAAGACTTGTTAGTAAAAACTACATTACTCCAATACACACTTCCAAAAAAAAGAAACTTTTTGTTAAATTATATTTATTAATTTTATGTTCAGAAGCAAGTTTAGGTTTATTAGACGGTATAACTGAACTTAAACTGAGTAAAATTAATGTTATTTACATAGTCTATCACTAATAATTTCTCTTGTAATCTCGAAAATTTTCCTGTTAATATTTACTCCTAAAAATTTTTCTAATCATTTCAAAATCTTTTTCATCTAACTTTGATGGTTTACCCAAACTAATTTTTCTTGAACTTTATCTTCTTTTATTCATCACTTTACATAAAAGATGACATAATGAAATAGGTATATTTAATTTTTTAAAAATTTCTTTATATATAATCCATTTTATTTAATGTAATTACCTTACCTTTTAAAAAAATTAAACACTGACTAGGTATGTTTATAAATTTAGTATTTCAAAAAATATATTAAGTGGAGGATTAATTTTTTAATATATACAGTGTTGCTCAAAAAAACGATGACAAGTAAAAAATGAAAAATATCATCAATAAAGAAATATCATGAAATTTTTTTTATAGAAACAAATGCAAAGTAGATGGTTTTAGAATCAAATGAAAAATACTTTAAAAATTATGTTTTTAAATAAACTTTAGAAAAAATATTTTTGAAATAGACCAAAAAAACATGGATAATAAATTTTAATATTTAGTGCTATTTCCTTTTACATTAAAAACTGCTAAACATCTTTTATGAAAGCTAATAACATAATTCTGAATCAGTTCATTAAGTATTGAATACCAAATCTCACTCATCTTTTCTTTTAATTCATTTCTTTTTAATTTACCTAATTTTAATTTTACCAAGGCCCATACTGCCTCAATATGGTTCATAATTGGACTCTGAGGAGGATAGTCTAAAATTTTTATTTCTTTTTTATCCAACCAGTTAGAAATAAGCCTTGAAGTATGCTTTGGATCATTGTCATGCATAAAAACAAATTCCTCAAGACCTATTTCTAATACTGATTGTATAAAATTTTGGGTTAATATTTGCTTGTACATAGCAGCATTCATAGTTTTTTCAATAAAAACAATTCTACCAACACCACTGTATGATATACAACTCAAACTATTATTGATCCTCCACCATGTTTCACAGTTAAAATTGTATTTTCAGGTTTGTAACGATCTCCTAAAAAATACCTGACATACTTAATTCCATCACTGTTAAAGAAATTAAATTTGCATTCATCAGTAAAAATTATTGTCTTTAGGGTCTCATTTGATATACCTAAAAATTTTTCTGATAATAAAAGTCTTTTCTTTATGTAAACAGGTCTCAGAAGTGGCTTTTTTGCTGGTTTTGCTGTTACAAGTCCAAATTGAGTTAATATTCTTGACACAGTTTGCCTTGAAACATTAATCTTAAATTTATCTGCAAATTTTTGTGCAATCTTTACACAAGATTCTTTATGGTTTTTATCATAAATCAAGAATAACTAACGTTTCAATTCATCAGACAATATTTCTGGTCGACAAAACCATATTTTTTCCTAGTGTA